AAATTACTGGCTGGATTTAAACTATCACTTTCTTATTGAAATTTAAAATTGTTTATCTCAATAATGTAAAAAGAAACATGTATTTAGTAGCTGGGTCAAAACATGTTTAAATCGACTAAATCGAGATTAACTACATTTTTTAGAAGAAACGTTAATAAGTGGTTTTGTACGTCCTTTCAATTAATAGGAATGTCCTGGCTCACCTAGCTCATATATAAAATTTAACCTTTCCATCAGCCAATTCAGAATTCAAATGATGAAAATTTACTAAAAAAAAAAAATAATGTCAATTGTTAAAAAATCTCTAATCTTAATCCTAAAATTTTCCCCATTTGTCGCAATCCCAAAATAATTGCTTGGGCCGTGACGAAGCGAATCTGCGAGGCAGATATTCAAGTCCATTTCGATTTTATCTGCAAGGTGGAAAATTAAATCGGTCCGAATTAAACGCACGTGTTGTGGCAACGGAGCGAGAGAGGGACACAAACAAGCTTTGTTCCTCGCTGCACCAATAATTTTCCGCGTGACGTGCAACAGCCAGGCTGTGTGTGTCGGTGTTTGTGCAGCGCTGGCCGTAATTAGGCTCCTTATTCCGGCCTCGGGCACAGCCTAAGCGGGTCGACGTGTTTGCAGACGACGCGCGGCGGCCGACCGCACTACTCTGCTCTCCGGGCGTAATTTGCATCGGCCTGGGCGGGGGGTGGGGGCTGTGCACCCGACTAAAGGGTTGCAGCTGGTGCACACATGCACTTGCAACTTATTCGTGTGGCGGCCTATCCGTTTACGCCGAGAGCTACAGAGTCTGCGGCTGCACCAACACACACAAAGTCGAACCGTTCGGCTGCACCACCACAGCTGAGGACACGTTCTGCGGTCAATAATTGCCACTATTTGTGTCACTGCTGAAATAAGAGTTTTTTAATATGTACATAATGTATATTAAATTTAAAAATTTTATATAACATTTTTTCTTATTAATTTTTATAAAATATATTATTTTATTTTTATTTAAAACAACTTTTTGTTCTATTTGTCCATCTATGTTATTGGTGTATTTTTTATTTTTTTTAACTTCTTTAAAGTCAAATACATATCAATCTGATTTAAGAAAAATTCTAAGATTTATAAGAGAAACGTGATCTTAATTAATTAATTAATTGCTCTTCGAAAACTGAAAATAGAATAATTTTTATTTTCAATGATCAATAAAATGCGTATATAATAGGTTATTTTAAACTGTAATATGTAAAAATTTACGACAACTATTGATCTCCACTTCCAAACTTATGTGACAAGAATATGCAAAATTTAAAGTCGCGCGGTGCAATATGAAACTCCTGAAGATTATCCCTTGATTGATCATCATCATAAACAGCCTTAAATTTCATGAACAAAAATTAATAAATATACAATTCATTGATCTTAATGTGAAAATATTGCATTTTACAATTTTTCAAGAAAATATCAACCCAAACTATTCCAGAATTCTTTCTATGTGATAATTTAAATTCAACAACACAATCTTATATATTATGCTTTAGTTGCTAAAAATTAATGTTTTTAATAAAATAATTATATGTATATTAGATAAAAGGCGCCAGCAATTAATGCTGTCAGTTCACTGTAATAAATTTCGCACCTTTTCTTTGCTTAGCATTAATTCTAGCTCAAGCTTCAGATTGCCGAGCAAGAAGGAACGAGCAAAGCGTTATCTCTCAACAAATAAATATAAACGCGCCTTCTCATACCAACCCTACGCCTTTCTGTTACCGTCTGAAAACTTTGAAAAACTTGCAAAACCAAAATGAGGTGGAATTAAAAATTTCTTATTTTTTTTTATTTTTTTTTTATATTTTTTGAGGTTTCAAAAACTTACAATTAGGCTCAAATTCAAAATTATAGTTTTACAACTTGGCAGCAGACACAAAACTTGTCCCTTGTAGAGTTATCTTGGCTGAAAATGTATAATCTATAGAAATCGATGCTGCACAAAGTTTCCTGGAAAGATTTGGAAGCCCATCAATCATTGCAGTATAAAATCACGTGGAGCAAATGAAGTCGATATCTCTAGTCCGCAAAATAACCTCTCAGTTTGCTGGCGGCGGTGGAAAAACCGAACGAGATCATTGTCTCTGTCAGTCCGGATAAAGAGAGAGCGCAGGAGAATAAACCATTATTCGTCTTGGCGCGGCGGCGTAATAATGTGATTGTCACAAAATAAGAATGGCGTCGTCTGAATAAAGGAGATAAATATTGCCAGTGAAATAGATACGTGAATGAAATGCCAGCTCCTTTTTCACCAGCGAGCGAATCTATCTCGCGTGGAGGAGCGCATTATTCTCTTGTGAGGCCGCTGCTTTTGCTTGTTCTTCTCTCGCCAGGCCTGACATCATTTATACAAGAAAGAATTAGGGTCGTGTAAGGTCGGAAAGACAGCTTGACAAATGAAAATACCAGGTGGCTACGTGGAACTTGGCCCGGAATTCGCATCTTGCGCAAAACCCGTAGAATTTTGTTAACTGTAATGTCAAGTGAAAGACGTACGTCTGTTTTTTTCACTGGAGCAAAGTGCAATGTCACGAAAGATTAGCATAATAATCAAAATAATTTAAAAGATGAAAGTTAAGATAAAATGTCTGATAATAATTCTTCTTTTTAATAAATTGTATAATTTTTTTTAAATATAAAATCAGAAAAAATTTGATCGTAAATCTATTAAACTAATGCAAATTGAAGTAACTTCTTTACTTACAATTCACATTTTTTTATTGGAACACAGAGAATCACACGATATTGAAAAAATACGTACTTGATTTGTCCCAACACTTTTGAACGCCAAATACAAAAAGCCTTTTTCTAACTGGTATAAGTAATTATTGTTTTTTCTACTGATTTTGCAATTTAATTTTGTATTTCTCTTAAATTTGCCATTCTTTGAAAGAAAAGTTTTTGAAACCATCGCACACAGACCTTCGAAGATCCTCTAAAGCTGACGAGGGAGCCAATATATCAGGTGGAGGGGTCTCTGTGATCTCATGATGTGAAAATGTAGTCAGCTGGGATGTGACACTTGATTTAGGTTTTACTTGCGCCTCGCTATATTAGATGAAGACATCTCACACGCACTTGAGAAAGAGAAAGCGAAAAGAGGAACGGAGCAAGGAAATCCCAACGGGGACGCACTGCGAAAATGGAATGACATTTTCCTCTGTTCAAATCTTCGATTCGTGGGCGTTCGTTCTCTTCGTATCGGGAATTTATGGAGGAAACGGCAACGCTTGACTGACTGACTGGAAAAACAACCTGTCTGTTTTATCAGCCAGATGAAGTTATGTCAGCCTAAAGTCGGCTCCCTCGCACCACCAGCCATGCAGAGACACGCTGAATGGAACTTTTGCACAGCCTTAAGACGCTGCTTGTGAAAATATTAGCTCGTCTTCAGTGAGCACTTTTCGTTAATTGAATTTCGGTTTGTGGAAATATATTTAACTTTTCGGTTTTGCAAGATTAATAAATATAATTTCCAAGCATTAATTTCATACATCTAGGGACAGTTTTCTTTGCTTATTGATCTGCTTTTCAAAGAAAATTAAATGGAGATTTTAATTATGAAAAGAAGAACGATTGTTTTCAAAATCAATTTTCAGCCCAAGTTTCCTCTATTTTCTTACTTTGTCTTCAAGCATAGAAAATTCACAACAAACAAAAACACTGCTTTATAAAAAGATACTCAAGTCAGAGTGAAAATTGAAAATTCACGGTTTTATCGTTTCAGTTCACAAGGTTTTAAATTTAATTCTCATTAAAACGGCAGTTTTTCCCTCATCTCACAAGCAGAAGGAAAATGGGCATATTTTTAAAAATTATTTGCTATTAAGTTTTAATTAAAGTTGAAAATTAATTTGGCCTTTTTTAATTTACAGAATATTTCATCAGCGGCTGATTTTTCTTTATTAATTTCATAAATTAATAGCTGAGGCAGATCAACAGTGAGAGTCACAAATTTTTGTATACGGAAAGGCAAAGTTTTATGGTCACATGTTGTACCACAACGCAAAACCACACACTTGCTTTATTATTCAACACTTTCCGTTTCACCCTTAATGAAAAGTATAATGTGGGTCATGCATATATACACATTCTCTGGTTTATGTGCCGCTCTGGCTCGCATACATTATTATTGCGGTACATAAATAAATTTATATTTCCGGCTCACTCGCGTATATTAATGTGTGCGGTATGTACGTAGGGCATGAACTCGACCTCACTTTACACATGCATTGGCATGCACGCTCGCCGTCTTGGCAGAATTTTTATTAAAAAAGTTAGCCCGAGCGGCAGTTTGGTTTAAAATTTGTGGTGTGGATTAAGCTGGTGGAAAATATTTTAATATTTTCATGCAGCTTGGAAAAGAGCAGGACGGAAGGAAGGAAATTGCTTCGAGGGGAGAGAGAGCCGTCGTGCTGTGTGCGAAGAAACAAATTAAAACTGCCTTTGAAGTGGAGTATTGCTGGCAGTAGATGGATAGGCAACCGGCTGCGTCTTGGTGTTTAGCGTGATGCATAACCGGATACTTGACGGGCGTTCACTTTGCTGACTGAAAAGATGTAAGTAAATAAATTCTATAAAAAAAAAATGCAATACAACGGTCAAAAAATTTATGCTTTGTTACTTCGATGAAAGTAATAACAATGAAAAATAATGAAATACAAGTGCAATTAAAGAAAAATTATTTCTCTTTTTGTAATACTGGCAAATAAAATAATATTTTTTGATAGGCTATCAATGATAGCAATCAATGAAAGAAAAAAATTAATAAATAAATTAGAAAATATTCCCTTCTTAAAGAATTTTTTTTTTCTAATTATAAATTTATCTAATGTACTGATCATTATGTGTTGTAGAGGTCAGTGGACTGTATAAACAAGGCGGTGGCAAAGAGATAGATCGGTAATTTCTGGCAATCTAAAATAATAACTTAACAATGGTTGATCAAACCATCCTTCAAGCTCAACAAGCAAGACAGTCATTCGCTAACCAACTGCCATGGTGAAAGCATACATTTTCATATTGGGCATTCTTGTCCCCCTTTCTTGGGCCAGCTTTTGCCCAGAGCTAGAAGGAAAGCTTGATTTCAAGCCAGAAAAGGTAATGAGACAAAGCTCTCTAGTTCATCAACAAATTATTATTATAAATCACATGTCTTTTTTAGATTTTTTTTTTATTTAAACTTCATAACTCAATTGAAAAATCGTGATAAACAAAATTTCACAGGTCAAGTTTTTACTTTTACAGCATTGATTTATAGGATGTAATTTTTATTTTAAATTCATTTTGGGGTTGGCTAAATTTTTATTAATTATTTTTTTTCAGTTTGTTGGTCAATGGTATTACGCTGCATACAACACTAATCCAAACCGACCGTGGCAAATTAAATGTGCAGAATTCAATGTGACCTCTAGGCAAGTGGAAAACACCGGTCGACACAAATTGAACTACCTGTTCAGCTACATTTCCAACGAGCGCAAAATCTACGTCACCATGCACACCGAGAGCGTTGACCCCGAACTACCCGGAAGCTTCTACAGCGTGGGAAAAAGGGTGCAATCTGACTTCTGGTCAGGTAAAAAAATTTGGTTTATTTTGTTATGATTGTATTAAAAATTAAAATTAATTTCCTCGTTCAGACGTGCACAGGGCAGCTATAGTGGCAACTGATTACGAAAACTATGCCGTCGCTATCTTGTGCTCGCCGGTCTTCAGAGTGGACACTAAAGATTTTGAGGCCTCTGTGTGGGGTTACATCTGGACAAGGTCAAGAGTGCTGGATGACGAAACGTTCAGCGTCCTAAAAAATGTTCTCATAGACCACGGAGTGCCCAAGTCGACCATTCAAGACTCTCGTAACGAGGAAAATTGTTGATATTTTTATTTATTATATTAATTATGCTGCAATTTCTTTTGCTAACGAAAATTGGGTAAATTTTTAACTATTGAAACAATAAAAATTGAAATTAAACTGTCGAAAACGTTTTCTTTTGAATTCTCTTAAATGTAGCTTAAATTTTATTATTCCAAATTTGCTGATTATTTGCTAACCGGATACAACGCAGTTAAAATACTTTATAAGAATTATCTTTTTTTTAATATTATTTTTCTCGTTTTTCCATACCATTGTGATGGAAATGGGAAAAAAATTATTTTCATAAAAAAATCAATTAGTTATATTTTCTGTAAAAGAGTGAAATGAATATTGACTTTTTGAATTTATTTTATCTGTTTTTTTTTTATGACAATTAATAACGGAGGTCAAAGGTGACGTTCAAATATTTGTTAGTTAATAGATCCACATTGATGGTCTCATTGACCTGTGCCTCGTGCCCCTATGCAATGGTTGAGTAACAAACTACCGACTGCAACATTTACAAGTCAAATTAAATTATAACACAAAAATTATTTACAAAATAAAATTGAAAAAAATTTTTAACTAAATAATCCTTTTAACACACACCAAGAACGTGATGAGGAAAGTGCGCATCAATAATATCTTCAATTTTTGGCAATTACGTACCCGTCTGTCGCGACAGACGAATAAAAATTAATGTTTTCAACATATTCTTGGCGCAGTGCAGTTCAAGAGGTCGCGGGCAATGCAGTCGGATGTGATAAAAAAATCATCGAGAACTTTTGCTTTCAGTCTGAAGGCCATCGTCAAGCCGAGTACACACGCTGGAGTCAAAATGCGCCAAGAGGCTATTTTTGTGTGCGCGATTTTGTGTACGCTCGCTTTAGCCGACGACACGTGTCCGGATTTCTCCTCAAAGAAACCCTTTGACGCTGCAAAGGTAAAACTGACAATATTCAAAAACAAATTATTATGGTTTAAAAAATGTAAATACTAGACACACATAGCTTTATTAGTATTTAGTTTTGAACGCAATCTGAAAAATCTAATTAAAAAATATTACTTTTATTTATTTATCTATTTATTTTATTTATTTATTCTCCATTCAGATACAATGAAAAACACATACACAACATCTTACATCAAGTCAAATAATTCGAATTAAGGTCGAATTAAGTATTAATTCGACCTTTTTATTGACTTATAAAAGAAGGAAAAAATGTAATTAATAATAAATTTACTTCAATGCAATTTTAAAAAGAATCATAAAAATTATATTATTCTGAATGATAAAAAAAAATTACCTATCACATATCTAGCCTTTGTCTAAATCGGAAATTATATAAATGCTTTGTGAAATTTATATGTATTATCGCCCTCATTAAATTTTCAATGGCCAGTTTGCAGGAACATGGCACACGCTGGCCTACATTGAACACCCAACTCACACGGGACCCATGAAGTGCGGAAAAGTTGAAGTGACCCACAGCAAAAACGGCGCGGGAAAGACAACGCTGAACTACAAGTACGACTACTTCGAGAACGGCAAACGCAACGTGGCGTACAAACTTTCGCAGGCTCTCCACCCTGAGACCCCCGGACGGCTGCAGAGCACGTGGCGCATGGAAGGCGAAACCACCTGGTCCAGTGAGTGTCTTTTCAGAGACACAGAAAACTGTCTCATTTTCTGCAAATACCGGCTTATTTTTGGCACTAATCTTCATTTTTTATTTTCCCTTGGTCTCTAATTTCCCAAAAAAAAAATGTATTTCTAAAATAAAAATCCTTAAAAGTAATAAAAGTGCGTGGATAAGGAAAATTAGAGACCGAGGACCAAAAATAAGTTGCTGTTTGCAGAAAACGAGACTTGAAATAAGCTTCGGGTGGAATTAAGAAGCAAATTATTTCTCATCCTCGAAAGGCTCGTTTATTTTGTATGGAAGAAAATTCTTTATAGAGAAAATCTGTGTGCTTTTTTTCTTCAATCTACCTTTTTTGCCAGAGGGAAATCTTTCCAATATCAGCCCACTAAAGATGCATTCAAAGCATGGAAGAAATATTGAATACTCCTTTATTTACCTTAATATTTTTAACTGAAATAAATATTTTTCCTATTTTAGATGCTTACGAGTCCAGCGTGATTGCCACTGACTATGAAAATTATGCCGTCGAAGTTCTCTGCGCCTATTATTATATTGAGCCACACAACGCCTTCATCAGGTCTTATTACGCACAAATTCTTGGTCGCAAGACTTCCCTGCCTGCGGATACTCTGAAAACTCTCAAAGAAATCCTCACCAATTATGATATCCCGCAGAATATCATCAGAGACCTTGACAACAGCAACTGCGCTAATTAATTGAAAGGAAAAAAAATATTGTCTTCTATTTCTTGAAATAAAGTTTAAAAAAATTATGAAAAATTATTCACAAAATTTCTTCCCGAAATTCGTAATTTGTATAGTGTTTCTTAATTTAAATTATTAACGAAACAAAAATAGGAAAAGGCACTTGACAAATTTTAGATGGTATTTTCCCTGCCTCGCCTCAAGCTTGAGTCTGGTATCTATAAAGTTAAAAATAAGAATAATAACAATGCACGATAGCGCACTAGAGAAATTTTGGCCTTTAGTCTTTTCCTCCGTTACGAATTATTATTCTTCTAGAGGCGACACAAAGAAGTCAACGAGAGCGACAAGTTGTTATTAAATAACACCGAGAAGTAAAGAATAATCTGGAGCATAACATGCGCCGCTCGCTCGCGGCGCTGTCACGTAAATTATTAATAGCAAGCAGTCTCGCCACACACTCAAAGTTTAAAGGTCAGCGAACGAAGAGACCGTGTCGCTGTCGGCAAACAAGTGCCTCGCCATTTATTCGATACTCGGGCAGATCATTAAATTGATACGACCTTTAAGCTTTGTGTGCAAAATTAGCTCAGATATTGTAGATCATATTACATAATGATATTGAATCTTCGTTGAGGAAAATTAATTGGTATTAAATACATAAATATTTTTTTGTTGGATACAGAATATATTTTTAAAGGAATATTTAAAATAAAATACTCTAAAGAACATCTTGCTGGTTGGTGTTGTTGCTTTTTGTTATATATTAAATATTAATTAAAAATGTTTTTTTAGCTTGAATAAATTTTATTTTTTATTTTAAATAAATTTAAGATGCACTTTATGTTCTTTTTTTAGTTTATCCTTTGAATTTAATGTTAATTTTTTCAAAGTTTTTTAAATTTAATTTGTAATTTATATTTTATTGTTTACATTGGTGTTAAAATTATTATAAAAAATGTTTTCATTTTAAATACATAAACATAAATTACTGACTTCATCAGAAAATATTTATTGAACAAAGTAATGCACCAAAGGAATTGTTTTTAATGTCGAAATATTATTCTCTGCTCAAATAATTGGATTAGTCATTTTCGTGGATGATCTTTAATTGAATAATATATGGATCTGATATGTGGCAGACATATCGCGCGCATCACCAAAAGCCGTTTGCAATTCCTTCTCGCTTGAGACGAGCGCTGCTGGAACGCGCTTGAGATGCGAAACACAATAAACCACTTGATAATACAATCATTCCGAATTGAAATGGGATCTGCCAGCGTGAACGGGGTGACGTCAAAGTGCGAGTCGCGCCAATTGGCTCCGCATAAATTAAAGCACTCGGTCCTGCACGCGAATATTAATGCAGCCGACGTCTTATGTAAGAGCCCGGCGTCACTGTTTTTGATTTGTAAAATGTCACTCAAATTCAAGTGCTCGTAAGGTGAAAATAAAACCTGCAAACACATTCAGCTGGGCGTCTTCGTACGTTTATGATTGATAATCGACAATGTGGAAAATTACAATGTGAGCAACGCTCGTCTGCCTGACAACAGAGATAAAATTGAATTAAAGTGAGTGCCGGGTGAGTGCCCCTCCTACAATTGGCCAAGGGCACACGACCCACTATAAAAGTGGCCACCTTATCCGAGTGCATCCACACTGACCGTCTACAGGGAACATCAGCAGTCCGATCATGCTGAAATTCTGCGTCCTCCTGTTCGCCGCCCTCTCGGCCGTCCAGGCCTTCGACAGATGTCCGTATTTCTCTGCCAAAACACCATTCGATCCTTCGAAGGTATTATACATTTATTTTTTTTTCAATTTCGTTAGAATGTGAATTAATATAATTTAAGTAAATTATATTTTCATTTTGCGAAATGTTAATTTAATTATTAGAAGACACCGGTTTTTTTTTAATTCTTGATAATGATTGTGACAATTATTAAATTAAATAAAGGGAATTAAAAAAATTGCAAAACCTAAAGCCTTGTAATCGGTTTCCACCTTTAAATATTTGAGGAGAGTCAATGTATATTTCTGTATAAAGGCGTCCAGGCGAAGCAACATTATTGCTCCATTAAACTTAATTATCATATAAAATGGAAACAATATAAAATTTAGATTTATCACTAATTTTAAAATAATTTTAAATTACTTCTATTAATCAAATTGACATTAATTCCCAAGAAAGATATTTCATTTAGGTATCATTTTATCTGCTTCATAATTAATCAATTTTTTGCACCAGTTCGCCGGTCAGTGGCAGATGGTGGGCTACAACGAACGCGCCGATCACCCAGAGGTCACGCGCTGTCTTAAGGTCGACATTGTGACTGCTGAGACCGAGGGCAAAACGTCCGTCACCTACAACTACGACTACATTGAGAACGACAAGCCCAAGAAGGCCCAAATCCTGTCACAGACCTTCAAGCCTGGTTTCCCTGGACTCTTCTACGGAGTGTGGAAGAGCGAGGATCTCACCAAGTGGTCTGGTGAGTTTCAAACTAACATTATTTATTTATTTTTTGTCGCAATCATAAAAAAATAGCTATTAAATTTTTATGATTATCAATTTATCAATTAAAACAATGAATAAATATTTGATTTTAATCGAGTAAATTCATAGGAAACATTCATAAAAATTGTGCTTTTAATTTACTTTAATTGCCTGAATAATAACTGAATAATATTTCACATTAAACGGGAGATTCAGGCAAACACAAAATTAATTTAAATCAGATATTTTTTGTAATATTTCTATTTTTCGCTTTTTGATCTGCTTCACTATTATATTTTTTTAAGTCAAAATTTAGAAGAAAAAAAAAATATGTATTTTTAAAATAAAATAAATATATAATTTACTTTTTATGTTTCCAGAACCTTACGTGACCAGCATTCTTGCCACCGACTACGAGCACTACGCTTTGATCGCCGCCTGTGCCCCTACCTATGATGCCGAGAACAAGACTTTCGGCAGGTCGTTGTACACTCAGATCCTCAGCAGAACAGGCACCCTGAGTGACGACACCTACAACACCCTGAAGAACGTGCTCAGCAGCTATGACGTCAACATTGACTCCATCAAACTCATGGAGCAGACCAACTGCTAAAGTTTGGCTCCAACGTCTTGCCAAAAGCTACGAAAAGTGCATTTTCTCCAGCAACTGCCGATAAAAAAAAAAGAAATGAAAAATAAATAAGAATCGTTAAGAAATCATTTAATTTTTTATTATATATTTTGATCGCAATATCTACTTCTGTAATAGTATTAAAATTCTTCATCCAAAAATTAGAGTAAAAACATTGATGAAACATGAATTTTTTGAAAAATTTCACAAAATTTATATATATATTTTTTAATTTAATGCTAAAATTCAGCTGTTTCACGTTTAATAAATTTAAATTTCAATAATGGAATAGTTTTAAATGTGCTTGTTAATACAAACTTTGTAATGTGGGTTGCAGGTACTTTTTAAAATTTATCTCTTGGTACTTACGGGCTGAAATGAAGATTCTGGTTTAAAATTGATGTAGTTGAGCCGAGTTTATACTCAAGTTGAGGATTTGTTGCCAGAGGTAATTAGCTCATTATCTGATGCGCCGGCAGATGCACCACTTCTTGCCGGAGCAGATTTGCTGCTCGGAAGTGTGTCTCGTGCGATGAGTGAAAACAAGTTTGCATAATCTCTCGATGGAGAAGAAGTCATTGTGCAGATAAAATTAAGCTCTCTTGCAGCCTGAAGTTGTGACGCAAAGTACTCGAGACGGAAGAGTTAACGCTATGTGTGTGTAGTGCATACCCCGTAATAAGGTTTGCCTTGCATGGTAAATGAACAACATGCACGGAATGGGAAAAATAAGTGGTGGAAATTTTCAAAGTAAGCACACAAGAGCTTTTCCCACTTGCAAAAACTCACCGGCTTCACATGCATACAAGTATACACGTGGAGTAATTGGCTGGGGACAAAAAGAGAAGAACGGAAAATTGTGCTCAAAAAAATTTCGTCTCTCACAGCCATGAGTTATTGACTTTTTTATATTCCATTCTTCTTGGAAAGTTGCAAATAAAATTTCCTCCAGTTGTGGGATAAACTTTAAACTTGTTCCAAAAGTTCGCCACTCACGTCAGCAGGATTTTCCCTAAGGCGAACTAAAGGTATTTATATAAACCAAATATCGCCAATTTCCTTTCCTCCCATGGGCATTCTGAAGTGGACTTTTCATGTTTTGTGTCTCTTGTAATATCAATATGAGATTCCTTAAAGCAATCGAAAACTTACAAGAACTAAAATACAAGATTGAAATTATTTCATCGCGCAATTACCTGAAAAGAATGAAAATTCACCATTAAACCAACCATTGATTTCGTTTTTAGTTCTGAAGATACAAAAAAACTCTAAATTTAAAACCAAAATATAATAATAGGCGCATCTTCAAATTCACTATGCAATATTATAGAATTAAAGTCTTGAAAAAGAGAAATTTTAATTAGAAGTGGCATGAAGGATCCGCTGCAACCCTATGAGAATATCTTTCCCAAGAGCATAAATTTTCCTCTATTTTTGTCGCTTCCCACGAGACTCTTTGCCTCAACCCTTTTCCTCTCCCTGTCAGTTCAGGCACACTTTCAGCTGCCCAACAACTAAATGCTCACGGTCACAGACGCTCATACTTGACTATAACGCAAATTGAGCAAATACGGCGATGCTAGCTGTTAGTACCGCGCCTCTAATTTGAGTTTTAAAATAATTGCTGTTTACAAACAGTTTTATGGGCCAGCGTGCAGGGCCCTGGTGGAAAAGTATCCGGAAATTACGGCGAATAAGCGGCCGTGTTGTGTGCCGCCTGACGCTGCATATTAATTGCAGACAACACTCCGGCAGCCAAAAGTTTGCCTCCTGCCTTTTCCCGCCAGACCAACTTTTAGTTATTATACACCGGTGGCGGTGGCGCGAGCCACCATCGCCCTGTGTAATTACAAATGCGCTGTCCGTGCTTAATTTTTAAGTACGGTTTTCACGTGCGTTTCACTTTTTTTGTTCTGGGCTGTGATTTCCTTGAATTTCATCCTGAAATACAATTTTGCAGTATCTTGATTTTGGGGTTCAATGAAAAATAGCAAAGTAAGCATAATTTTCTTTTGTAAAACAAAAAAGTTTGATAAATGCGAATAATTGAAAACTAATTGTAAGATTGGGACGAAAAATCAATTGAGAAGTTAATCATAAATGAAACATTGTTAGTGTGCGTGTTGTTCTAATTATTGCAAGTGTCTTAAAACCTCTTAAAAATTATTCAATTAAGCTCCCGTGACGTCCCCCATATTCTTTTTGTGTTCTCTATGTTGGCGCCATCGTCGTGTCTCCAAGTTTTGCATTGTGAAGTGAGCTTGTGTGCGGTGGAAGATGATAATAATTTATCCTCTTTTGACGCTTTCAACTCTGATGAGGAGCTTTGAGGTTTAAGCGTCTGTGATAAAGCGTGACAACTCATTATGCTCGAGTGTTTTACAACACTTGAATATTTAACGCTCTTTGTATATCATCTCGTGAGAGGGAAATATCTTATTACGTACTAATAATGTGCTGGGTAACCTTGTTTTCCGCTTTCAAAGACTTCTAGTAGTTGTTATATTTAAGATGCATCGCTTCTTATTAACTATGGTCTGCCTGTGACTTAATTTGAAGACTTCCTGTTGTTCAGACTCAAACAATTTTAACTGTGTAAAATTATTTAAGTTCCTATAATAACAGTAAATTTTTATAGGTTTCAAACAGGTTATAATCTCCATAAATAACCTTTGACAGGTCAAAATTATTATATTTGTTTAAAATATAAACCTCAAATTAAGTAAGTTGTAAAAAAAAATTCAAGGTAACTCTTGAGCGTGTTTGAACGCATAAAATTATTTCAGTGCTCCTCAGTTTTGAAAGCATTATGCTGTTTATACTGATTAAAAATTTATAAGGATTTCGTTTTTCCCATTGTTGGTAAAAGCCACTTAAGGAAGAAGAAAATTGTATTTCTCCTGCTGGATAAAGGATTTCGCCTTGTGAAGCAGTGGCGGCGTTATTGCGAGGAAGAAAACAAAAGACGTTGCGTTTTTGTGTTGAGGCCACTTCACTCTTTCTCATCCTCCGCCGCTTTCTCTCCGGCAATTAGATAATGCGCGATGTTTCGCCGAAACGAGAGCAGCTCCAGAGCGAAATCTGCCGCCGCCGCCGCTCTCGAGTTTCAAAGAAGATGAAGGAGTTTTTAAAAATGTGTCCCGTGTGCCTTTGTTTTCGCAAGAGAAGCAACAGCGGAGCCTTGCAGGGTGGAAGTTCGGCGGCGACGCGCGGGCAGGTTGGTTGTAATTGGATTCTCTTTACAGCGGAAAAATAATGCCAGAGGTGGTCTTGTGAGAAACGCAGGCAGGGTCTCTCCTTTATGCACACGCGAGCGAGCTACACACCAGTCACTCACTCATTCCCTTATTCAATTTCTTTGCCAAGTCAAGGAAAGTAAAAAACGAAAGAAAACACGCCGCCCGGCATAAAGGGTTGCTTAAATAAGAGAGAGCGAGCGGTTCATTTCGCCATAGTAATTATTCTGCATTCAAAGCGCGCGACACGAGATGGGAAAACGAATATTAAGGAGCCGTGCGCACGCTTCTTATATATTTTTTCAAAGGGCAGTGCATCCAGGGGAAAGAGAAGCCCTCCAGCCACGCCACCCATTCATAAAGGAAAGGCTAAATTGGTTTTCTCTTCAAATGTAAAAATATGTACCTTACCCTTATTTGATCAGAAATACTTAATGAAAAAAAAATTAAACTTTTTTTAAGAGCACAATTGAAATGTGGAATTTGTTATTGTCATATAATAATATGTTCAGAAATTTGGAGGTCACGTTTAATCCAACAGTAAAAGTTAGAATGTGTTACCGAAAAAAAAATTGAATACATTTATGGAAATATTTGAATAAATTGAAAAAAGAATAAATAATATTTATATTTATAAATATATGTAGCCAATTTTTTTCTATACAACAAACATTTTGAAAATTGATACACAATATAAAAAATATTATACCCATTATAGTGAGAAAAAATTATTTTGCAATACCAAAGTTAATTAAAAAAAATTATATTATGTCACAACTAATTAAACAGGAGATCACCTGTCATCTCTTTCATCCACTAATTCATTTGAGTAAAATTTATTCCAAAAATCAATTTCTATTTTGGGTAATGTTATAGTACGCGCGACGTGTTTCCCAAAATCCCTGATTTCAGTTGGCATCACTTGCATTACGTCGCGCGTTTAATAGTGGTTTTACGTCGCGCATACAATAATGGTTTTACGTCGCGCGCTCAATACTGGTGGCGGTAAAATTGTTAAGAAAACCGATTATTCCATCGATACCTCGGCAACATGTATAGCACGCGCGACGCAATTCTTTTCCTACAATCTTAGTTAAGGGGACTGCTAGGAAGAATAGGGGCCCTTGGGATGGGTTCAGAATGGGGCAAGACGACCTCTGGAGGGCCGTGCGCACCCTTATAGCAGGCGCGACGTATCATTATGGGACGCGCGACGGTCGAAAAGCGAACTCCGGAGGGCGCTTTTCACCATCGTCAGAGGCGCGACGCACGCTTATAGTACGCGCGACGCATGCTTTTAGTACGCGCGACGCACGGCAAATTAATTTAAAGGTGTTGCACGCGGCCGGAGTTGTGGGCGCCCCACGAACCGGCAACTCGGAGGTGGGCAACCCCCAAGATTAATTTTTGCAGAAGCCGCGAGCGAGGGGTGGAGGCGCAGCGAGGTCGAGGACGTGGGGAAGGCCGTGTGGAGGGCGAGGACAAAAGGGCGGCTGTGTTCATGAGGGGGCTCCGCAGGAGCCCCCTCACGAACCCCGCCCTTTTGTCCCGCCCGGAGCCGGCCTTCACCACGTTCTCGGGCGAGCGCGCCTCCAGCCCGAAGCTCGCAAACCCACAACGGAGTTGCCCACAAAAGGTGTTGTCTGCAAAGGGAGTTGTGGGCACCACACTTTTTGCTTTCTAAGCCCTTTTTGCAGACAATTCCTTTTGAAAGCAACTCCGTTGTGGGTTTGCGAGCTTCGGGCTGGAGGCGCGCTCGCCCGAGAACGTGGTGAAGGCCGGCTCCGGGCGGGACAAAAGGGCGGGGTTCGTGAGGGGTCTCCTGCGGAGCCCCCTCATGAACACAGCCGC